AACAGAATTATGAACCAGGATTTTAGGACTCTTCAGTAGATTGGACACATGGCTTGAGTACAGCTGAGTCCTCAGCCTCTTTAAACATTTATTTCAATGGAAATATTTTTACCATCCAAATTAAAATAAACAGCCCGTCCCTCGTTCCCTCCTCCAGCAAAGACAGATTTGCCCACGACACACACACACTGGGCTGCACTGAACACTTTTCAGTTCTTTTCACAAGCAGTTCCTCATATGCTATAAGAGTAATGTGTATAGACAATGGTTGTTCTGTGTCTGTGTATGAAGTTTATGTTTTGAAGTTAAAGAAAAGGTCCACATTCTTGGACTTGTTTAAGCAATTTCTTTTCTCTTGGATGGTCAAAGATTTGTATGTTTGTGAGCAAGATTACACAAAAACAAAACTATGGATTTCCACAAAACTTGGTGAAAGGATGCGGTGTGGAATCAGGGAGCAGATCCAGGATCTTTTTTTCCCTTTCTATGAGTGTGTGTTTAAGGGGACTGGGAGATATGAGCTCTACTGAATATAATTATAGTTAACTCTGTGTCTGCTACGAGCTCTTTCTAATCTTTCATTGACAGAAAGAGAAAACTCTGAGCCCACAGCGTTTCTGAGACACACGTCACATTTAGTTTGACTTGATGCTTTCCACAAAGACAAAATGCAGAGGTGTGTATGAGGTCAGTCCTGGACTAACCTAGTGTTGTGTGTGTGTGTTAGTTTGTGTGTGTGTGTATGCATACATGCATATGTTAAATTGATAAAAGCTACTGATGTGTCTGTCCAGTTGGAAGGTATATATTTCTTCCCCTCGCCACATCACAGTGGCTCAAAGGGAAATCTGTTTCTTTCACAGGCTGTGTTTTGTTTTTTGCTTGTTTTTGTGTGTTGTTGCTTTTCTGCTGCAGGTTTCAATTTAAATCCAGAGTAATGTGTCGCTGGTGCTGCTTTGCATCAGATGCATAGCCGAAGGACAAAGTGAACCCGTCCGTAACATCTGTCCCCCCGTAGCCCGCGTCCACACAAAATCTTGGTTTTGCTCAAAAATCTACTTTTTCAGGTGTGTTTGAACGTATCTCACTATCTCTTCAGTGTGATCTCACAGTTTATAATCCTCTCATGCTGCTAGTTTTTGAAAATATACGTTATATATTTGACATAATTGTGTACAGATTTACTGTTATATATTAGATAATGTATTGTACATAAAAAAGAATAATGGAAATATGGGATTGAAGCGTCATATGTTTATTTACAAACAGTATAATTTATATGATTAAATACTTTGTCTTTATATTTCTTTATATTTTAGGACTCTGTCATGTTAATATGCCCCAACTCTAAAGCAAAATTAAAAATAATCTAAAGAGCGTAACTATCACGTAACAAGTGAGTTATTTGCAAATGTTATAGGCACAGATGTTTTTCATAATTCCATTTGCATGATCAATAACCAAAGTTTCACAACTGCATTTATCTTCATTTTATTTCATAATATTTTGACCTTTTTAAAAATGAGCTTGTTATTCTCTGAACCACAGAATGAATAAAAACAGGACAATGATATAATATTTGTAGATGTACATGGTGGAAGACTGAACATGTTAAATAAAAATTATATTTGTCCTCTGAATGTTTTATAGTTAATGTAGAGATGTTTATATTTCTGTTGGAGAGCATTATTTTAATATGTAAAGTGTGCCGATATATTATTTTTGTTTAAGAAAGAGTTTACATTGATAATAAACACCTACAAATACCTGAAAAGTTGTATATTCCTTAAAAAAACTACATTAAAGTCACTGTGCTGCATGCAGAAGATGATCTGGACGTTCTACTTGACGTGCTTGAGCAGTTGACACCCATCACGTGAATTAACATTGAGTAATGCAACCGGACTGGACATTAGACAGGAATCTGCAGAAGCACATGGTCACAAGAAGAAGAAGAAAGAGACGTGAAAGATGTGATTCGTAGAAAAGCAGAAATACCCTCATTCTCAAACAAAGATAGTGGAGTATTGGTGCTAGCATTGTTCGCTCGCTCTTTCACGCATATGCATACACTGCGGAAGCGGCCAGAGCGAGTCTTTGTAGTGGGAAGGGAGCTGTCTTGTCACTGCACGAGGGAGCTGCTGATGGGAAACATGAAGCCGGGGTGGGGTAAACCTCCAGACCTCAGCTTTGGCCCAGATAGACTAAAACCTGGGCCAGATCTGGCTCAGTGTCTGCTGATGCATCTGCTCGCTGGGATCATGTAGGGAGATGAAGGACTACTTAGATCTTGTGCTCTGACCTGATAATGATAAAACGCTTGCTGCTCGAAACCCTTCACTTCCTCCCAGGCAAGCATGGCGCGTGAAGAACTGCAGGGCGAAAACTGCACTGCAAAAACTGCACGATTATTATACCGAAAGCAAGACGGGCTCGAGCTTCATCTGAAGCTTCATGACTGTGAGTCATTAACACTGGCAACCCTTCAAGAGCTGTGATCCAAAGCATGTACCTTTAATTATATTTTTGTTTTAAGTTCCACTCACGGAAAATGGGCTCTCTGCTTTTACGTCAGCGACAGAAATGTCTGAACTCCTCTGTTCACATGTGGTTCATTTTAAGCGGGCCGACATTGTTGACATGTAAGAATTAAACCAGGCTCATTAACACCTGGTCCACTGAATCGGTGGTCGCGCAAGGGGGAAAAATATTATTCACTATGAAGGTTGTACATGCTGTGTACAAGCACTTTTGGATGAATATGCAGAAATGCTTTATTTGTAAAGTGCGTACAAATCTGGAGGAGGTGACATGTTAACGTACAGGAGGATAAGTAACTCGGAATAGAGCTGGACTTTCTCAAGAAAATTGCTTGAAATCAGTTGTCAGGGTGAGTTTGAAAAACTCAGATCAGCTACGTTTGATACAGATGATAGAAAATGTTCCTCTACGCAAGAGCAAAACATAAGCTATATTATTACAAGTTAGAAAAACTGAAGCTGTTTGTTCCCTGAGTAAATTGAGTTAACTTTACTCTGACCTGCAGAGTAAAGGGTTAACAATCACTGACCTGAGTAATAACGAGGCCTCTGTGAACTTCCCGACATTCAGCTCAGGATCTTATCAACTCAATCACACAAACCTGGTTCGTATAAACCTGAACCCTGCAATAACAACTGACCAGCGTCACTTCCTCTGACAGAAATTGAATTGTCTGGTGATGCAGGAGGACGCGACGTGTCTGGTGTCTGGCCACGTCTGCGTGACAGTGCCTCCTTAGCGGAGGTAACTGTTACCCAGGCCTGCCCAGCACTGTTTACACTCAGTGATTCATTTTGAGACATGCAAGGTCCCCATGCCGTTTTAGCAAACACTGAGGAGTCCGTGATGTTTACTCTGTATATACAGGAGTCAGCTTAAATAAGGCTTCCACGAACGCTGGATCCCTGAAAACTGATGGACTTGATTAGACTCTGGCCCACGACGATGTAGAACTCTTGGCGTTTTGGACCATTTTGACCCATGAAAGGTTAATAAAACATAAATATTTATGTTGCTATGGGGTTCCATGCTCCACTCAGAAGCCGAGCATACAATGAGTGCAGAATATTATGATACAACACAGATATGTTGAAGCCATCGAAACAGTCTCTGAGAAACAGCCTGATGTTTGGTGAGTGTGTATTTGTGAATGTAGCATATGCAGCATGTGTATGTCTCCTACAAGGTGTTCCCCCCTCTACAGCATTCATACAGGATCTGTCCAATGTCTAAATGATGTGGAAAATAATTTTGTTTTCTACTGTCCCTTTTATTATGAGCTGCATAATGCTCTGTTTCATAAGATAAAGAAAGATGTTGTGATGTTGTGCAAAGACTAAGTAGGATATTTACGTATGAAACGTGTAAATTAGCCAGTTATTTGGAGAACGCCCAAGAAGAGACAAAAAAGCTCTTTCTTTTTTAGAATTACTCACACTTCTAATTGTTGAAGATAAGATGAAGAGTGAAGAAGCCGAGAAACACCATGTTATCTCACAGACTGCAGACAGACAGTACATCCATAGTCTTTCCAACAGCCAAGTGTCCTGAGATCAATTCTGATCTGTGTGTTCGTAGGCTCAGTTATCATTTCCAGCAGGGTCTTGTTCATTGAGACAGAAGTACGGCACACAGAGGCATCACAGACTATACACGCCACTAAAACAATTCTCTTAAAAAACCTAACATTTAAACATATCTCAGACCCTCTGATCTCTGAAATTCAAACAATTTAATTGTAGACTTTTTAAGACTTTGCAGAAACAGAGTCTCTATTAAATCAATTTATAGATATGTAATAGTAGTGTAAGTTCATTTGGAACTGTATTTCTCTTTTTTCCACATGTTTTGTTTATATTATACAGAAAGAAGACATATGTTTGTAAATTATGTATGTATGTATATGGGAACAAATAGACAATAGTGAGTTGGAAGTTTACTGTGAATTTCATTCGATTATCATTCTAGCTGGTTTCCCCCATTTCTAAAAACGTGTGAATTCTGCAACTGGTTCAGCTCCATATATGTTATGGGAATGCAATTAAATGTGATTATAACTTTTAACTTTTTCAGGAGCCTTTCATTTGCTATTTAAAAATCATCCAGCCCACAGGCCTCAGTCTGTGTATTACAGTGACCTACATGTTGTAAACTATGCCTATTGTTCCTCTGAGTGTTCAATGATTGTGCAAACTAAGAAGAACAGAGCACAAACACACGTCTAATCTCAGGTCTCAGCCCTGGTAGCTGCATTCCTCAAATACCAGCGTCTGTGTGTGTGTGTGTGTGTGTGTGTGTGTGTGTGTGTGTGTTTGCGTGCGTGCGTGTGTGTCATGTGCCCCACTTCAGGCTGCAGCACATGACTTCTTCTTGCCTCAATGATCATCGGGCTCCTGTGGAGGGTTGAGGAGGGTGAGGAGAGAGAGGGGGAGCCACTGAAAGGAGCAGTCACTTCCTGCACCCTGCAGCACTGTGACATCTCTCCAAGAGCTGCTGCTGTCACATGACCACGTGTTGTGCGGAAGGAAGGAGGCGGATAATACACACACACACACACACACACACATACACACACAGAAGTTGAAAACTTCCTCGATCTGCAGGAAACAGTGAGTGGACGAAGCGTGGAGAGGACGCAGATCCTGGGATCGTCCGCACAGTGAGTCTTCCACACATTGTGTGCGTATAGTGCAAGTGTCGTGTTGCTGGAGTGTGTGTGTGCGGCAGTGAAAGGTTCAGTAATGGGGAAGTGAGCTGAGGCTTGAGGTAAAACACGGGGTGCAACTAACGGATCGGATCAAATGATTACAAACTCTCACAAACAGTATATATGAAAAGATCAGTGATAAGAACATCACTAAGATATATCACTACATGCTGGGTCACAGGCCACTTCAACATCATCTGCTGGGTTTGTTCATTTGTTTGATTTGTTTCAGACAGTGTTCATTAATCAACAGACAAAATGCTTAATGAGCCATAAATAAAATGGCATGTCTTTTATAATTACAAATATATACATGGATAAAACAATCTAACTGTACAACAAACCTACAATTAGAACACTGCTTGTTTCTATTGTTATAGAAACAAATGCAATCAAAAAACACTCCAATTCAATATGCCACAAATATGTACATAAACTAAATCACATAAGCTAATGATTACATTTCTGCCTCCCTACAATGGTGACAATAGAAATAATCCTGTCCTCTAATGATTACTGTTTATGTTTGCAAATGAATCTAGATGATATATGTGAATGTAAGTATAGTATTCTCTGTTCTTGATCTAAAAGCCAGAAATAAAGCCAAAAATATCCAGGAGATGATCCCCGCCATCTTGTCCATTTGGAGCCAGAAGTATATTCTCAATGAATCAGTCAGTCTCAGCTGTCAATCATGAAGTTTTCATGTTTTTTATGGGAAAAATGGATCTGATGCATAATTTGACATTGTTTAGTCCCTTTCCCATCTACTAACATGGAGTTGACATTTGATTGTGACCTTACATGTGTACAACATAATACAACATAATCAATCAGAGACTGTGGACTTTAGGTCTAAAAGGTCACAGAGTTCGGCCTCAGTGGCTCCAGCGTATTCTTAACTGGGCCTGTGTGAAAATATGTTCCAGTGATTCAGTGACAGCGAATGGATTTCAGTGCTCACAGACACCCATGGTTTCGGCCATCTTTATTCCTAGAAAAATGTGTGGTTCAGTATCCAACCTAAAAAAATGTCAATAAAAAACAAGTGTCTGGCTGTGAAATGGATTGAATATCAGACGGTTGTTTAGATCTTTGAACTGCACGGCCTGATCAATGATGTTCAGATGATCTCTGGTTTCAGATCAAACAGTTCCACGTCTTTAAAGTGTTTAACTGAGTTGCGTTTCAAAATTTCAAATTAAAATCTTATACTTCCTGACAACTCTCTCAGTGTAACATCGTCAAAAATGAGAGACAGATGTGTTTTCAAAAGAGCACGAGTTTGTCACATTAGAAAGTTAACAGTAAGAAATTGTGGACTTTTTAAAAAACAGTCCAGGATTATTTAAATATAAAGTGCTATTTCAACATTGAATCACTAATCTCATTTATTTTCTGCCATCACAGTCAAGATGATAACACCCTCCTCTCTTTGGACATGACCCAGCTGTGAATAGCAACATGTCAGGACTCTGAAAACCCCCGCCCCACCCCCCACAGACTCTGGTATGTCTTTTGCCTCAATACTTTAAACCTTTTCCTTTATGGCATAATGCATTTGGAGCTCATGGAGTAAATAGGACACCCCACTGAAGCAGGACAGGAGTGCATCTGTGGTCCAGATGAAGTGCCTGCTGATAGCCAGTGAAAGCGCCGAGGTCCTCTTCCACTGGACTGACCCAGAGTTTCAGCAGAACATTCAGCAGCAGTATGGGGCGTCTCAAGAGGAGGGCCAGGGGGTAAGACAGAGGAAAATAGTGTTTGGTAGATAATTTGTTGTTTTTTGCTGTTCGAATAAGTCTTAATTTTTTTCTCCCCTTCCTTTGTTTTTTTCAGCTTCCTGCCTTTGAGGACAGCATCAGCACTCTGTTCGCACCCATCATCATCTCCTGCAGCAGCATGGTGGACAGGCTCGGTGACAGCTACACCTCCTTCACCACGGAAAACAACCACATCTACGTCCTACACCAGGTAGCAGCTGCCCTTCAAAATAAAAGCCTTCCTCAGCCCTGCAGAAATCCCCAGATTAGCTCTGCGTCATGTGACATATCCATTAAGAAATTAAAAAATAATGTTTTCTGACCCTTTTGAAACACCACCATGTTTAAAGCAGATTCCTGCCTTAACGAATCTCCCCTCATAGACACTAATAGTACTGTGATGTAAATGCAGGCCTCTATTACAGTACACCGTCATGTTTGTCATGTGAGTCCTGTTAAGGAATCAAACCAGGCTTTGTCCGCCTGCAGCACATGATGCAGTCACTTCATTAAAGTAAATTCAGAATCAACACAAAGCAGTTAAATACAAACATCTTCACTTTATTTTCCATTTTATTCAAGTTCTCGGCTAATTAGTTTATTTTGTCCTCAGTTCGATGAGTGTCTCTACATTGCTGTGAATGGAGATGGTGAGGAGGGAGAGGACGCTCTGAGGAGGAAGATCTATGTGATGAAGAAAATGGTTGAGGTCCTGTTTGGCATGGTCACCCTCAGCAGCCACCTCCTCAGAAGAGAGTAAGACTTTTAGTGCGTACCTGCTAAGACGTTGAAATGCAGCGGCTGGTTTGAAGTCTGAACTGTGTTGTTTGTCACCAGACTGCGACCTCAGGACACGGAGCAGAGAACGAGGCTGTGGAAGCATCTCCAGAGTCTGCTGGAGACCTACAGCCACCTCCGAGAGAACGACCAGAGCTTCTTAGTGGAGGTGCAGTGCATGGCTCCTTTATAATGCAGAGCTTTCAACTTAACTACAATTTTGCCTCAGATTCTGCAACATCTTTTTAAAAGACACAGCTCCATGATGGACATTAATCCCCACAGGATTTCTTTTCTTTTCATTCCCTGCAGCTATATGGCACTCGGGAGAACACAGGCCTCTGCCAACAGTCTCCTTACATTAACTGGAGACACACTTTTTGATATCAGTCACCTAAATGGACCAGTTCTGTGCTAAGACATAACCTGACAGGAGTGCAGTTGGATTCCCTATGACTAGTATAATTTACAGTATAACATATGTACACTGTAGCCAATTATATTATGTGTCTTTGAAATATTATTGGATTTATTATATATTATATATAGTTTCCCCTCTTACATTTTTGGTATTTTAATTGTCATTATTCTTTCTTCTCCTGAGCCACAACATGTGTAACTAAAACCCTGACTATCTTTAGTGTATTGTTACATCAGATATATGATATAAACATTTAACCACTAGATGGCAGAAACAGCTGGAAGCCAACATTTTTACTGTTGATCTTTGTGTTTATATTATTTTGTCTGCTCCCTATATCTTTTATATCTATTTATTTTTTCTGTGAACCAGGTCCAACTTGATATTGAATTAGTTTTTCCATCAAATGTAGAAATTATGCTATTTTTTAGAAGCAGATTATACAAGAAAACCTCACCATCAAGTCAATTTTGAGTTAAATTAATACATCATATCTGGAAAAGAAAAAAAATCCATGCCAGCTATCCTTCAGTTTCCATTAGAAACATGTTAAGAATGTGAAAAGCCAGTTCTTCATATTTAAGGTCACTGACTTCTGTATTTGCTCTACACAGGATAAAAATCATGGTTAAAATCCTCTTGATCACTTTCGCTCTCATGTCTTCTCCTCCTCCTCAGGCAGTGGAGAGGCTGATCCACCCCACGCTGTGCGAGCAGTGCATCGAGTTCCTGGAGCGGCGTTTAGTTCAGCAGCTCAACAGCAGCGCAGAGAGAGCGGGAGAGGAGGTGCTGCACGCCTTCATCCTGGTTCACACCAAACTGCTGGCCTTCTACTCCAGGTGGGTTTCCACAAACCCCTCACATTTATTCCAAAATGCAGCGTAATTCATATTTTTATATAAGTTGTCCACTCTTTCTAGCCGCAACGCGAGCACACTCGCTACCTCCGACCTCCTGGCCCTCATCATCATGGCACAGAATATGTATCCTAGCAACGAAGACCTGGATGACCCGGGTCCTGAGGTAGGAAATACTAAAAGACGCTCAGCAGCACCACAACATGTTGTTCACTTTGTTTGATTGTGTATCATCTGTGTATGTTGTGTGTTTGTCTGTGAAGGATGTTGAGAGTACGTCTGGTTCTGGTCATGAGAGTTTCTACACCCCAGAGCCGTCGCCGACAGACAGACACTCCAGCAGCTCAGGTGGGTTGTGTAGAACAGGGGTTCTCAAAGTGGGGTCTGGGGACACCCAAGGGTCCTTGAGGGGGTTCCAGGAGGGTCCCTTACAAAGAGGGGAATCTCTCTTTTCACTATAATGAACACAAATGCAAATAATCTCTTCAAATGGGGTCCGTGGTCTGATATGTATCAGTGTTGGGGTCCTTGACGTGCAAAAACTTGAGAAACACTGGTGTAGCAGAGTCTATTTATTTATAGTTATTCGTTTTTTTATTTACATGTCCTTGTTGAAAATACAGTATTTGTGTCTCAGAGGGATTTTTTACAGCCGGACATATTCTACACTGGAACATATGATATACATAAAAAAAGAAGTATACACACACGTTTACATTCATGTCCCTACCTGCATCCCAGCCAGTACTTAATACTGTAACATGATGCGTAATTTGATTTGTTGTTTGAGGGAGTAACATTTGTGTAATTTGAGCAAGTTTGTATTTCTCATCATTACAATCTTACAGTTTCTAAAGAACAGTATGTTGTGTATTTTGTCTCCAGACAAGCCAGAGAGAGAAAGTCTCCCGATGTTTGAGTTCATGGACCCAGACATCCAGGTGAGACAATATTTCAGTGTCTGTTCCCAGTAGTTTATCCTGATATCTAATATTCTATTTAAGAAAAAAGGATCATTATTTGGAATGAAACCTCACAGTTGGATAAAGTCATAATCCTCCTCAGATGGCAGAGGACAGCTTGAAGGCTCTGGAGGTTCCTCCCCCCGACCCTTCAACCCCTCGCAGAGTCTTTTTAGAGATCTCAGGCAGAGATGGTCTATATCCCATGATGCCTCACTCCATGTATTGTCTACCACTGTGGCCCGGCATCACACTAGTGCTGCTAACGAAGGTTTGTGGATGACAACACACATTATTATTTGTTTTATTATTAGATTTGCTTATGTGTACATCTTACATCTTAACATTTGTGGCCAGTCAGGGGGGGGCACTTATCACACATTCATCTTGACTTATTTAAGAAACAACAATTTTATACATATTTATTACCTTGTTGAACAACTTTGATGCATCTAAATTTATCCATGTCAGATTCCCACCAATGCAGTCGCCATGTCAGTGTATAAGTTTTTGGAGGCTTTTGCCAAACTGGAGAAGTGTTTAAGTGAAGGACACGAAGGTTCTGCTGCGACTCGGGGACAACTGCTGATAAATGACATCCGCAGCAAACTGGATAAATTCATTAAAGCCCTGGGGCCCAGTGAGTTACAGGTATGGGCTTTTTACACGCGACTTTTCTATTTCAAATATCTCTGTAAATGGACTTCTCATGTAAAACAACAATTTACAATTATTTTCTTTACTTCTTTT